CTCTGTGGCTGCTCCGACCCTCAGGAACGAACTCCCCATGGAGATTCAAACCCTCACCACCCTCCAGGCCTTCCGCAAAGCCGTTAAAACCTGGCTGTTCCGACAGGCCTGGGGCTAAAGAGCTGTTGCCCCCGTCTCGAATGGTATGACTGTCATGTGTTTTAAATTATGCATTGTTATGTGTCGTTTTTTAATTTTTTGTCTGTACCCCCCTTCCCTGGTTTGAGTTGTGAGCCGCCCTGAGTCCCCTTCGGGGAAAAAGGGCGGCATATAAATATAATAAAGAAACAAACAAACAAACAAACTAGACATACATTTGGTGTCATACATTTTACCATTTGTTGAATAAGAATACCTGTATATTGATGCAGCATATGAACAATCATATGTATCTAAATTAAAGTCGATGGATCTGAAATTTCTAGAGATAAGGACTCTCATACTTCTCCAGTTTTAGATAGGAGACATCTTAGGCACTTCTTTGATGAGATACATACAGTATGGAGTTCAGTTACAAGAAAACCACAAATCTGTTACACTTTAAAAATCAGCAGCGGTCTGTTACTTCACGGATTAGAACATAATTACCATCCACATTGGTTAGCAGCTACAATAAATGCTAATTTAAGCAAACAAATCTAAACAGTGGAGGCAGAAGGGTGGGAAATGCAGCAGGTGTCATTTGTGATATTTTTATTTATTTCTTAGATTTATACTCCGCCTTCCCTTCAGGAGTTCAAGGCGGCAGTCATAACACTCCCTCCAAATTTTCCCCACAACCACCACCACTCAGCAAGGTAGGTTGGGCTGGAGAAACTGACCAGTCCAAAGTCACCCAGGCTCTGTGAGGCTCTGTGACCGTGACTGGGGATGGACTTGAACCTGGGTCCTAATCCATCTCTTTAGCTAGTACATCATATTGGCTCTCTGTCTGTTCTATAATTATGTTTAATAGCTATTTCTATTCCAGCTCAAACATATATAAGATAGCTAAACACTATGATAATTTATAGCAGGGGTAATTAGCCGAATACAATTTTAGTAGCCTTTGTGCTATTTTCATATGGTCTTGGTTGAATCCTAAACAAGTAGAATCAAAGTTACTTATAATATTCTAATCTTCCCATGTCAAATTAGAGTTTATCATGAAGTTCATTTATTGAATTAAAGTACTGTAAATGAGAAAGGTGGTACTGAATTTCATCGAAATGTCTTCCTGTAGCCAGATCTAGCTCTGGAACAAAGTGAATTACCAGAAGGGAAGCATACAAAGGCTCATAAACGAGGTCATAAACAGAAGCACAAACCTGGCGAAGAAGAGGAAACACAACTTCCTGAGGATTCTGCCTTCACTGAATATACAGAAAAAGAAGTGGAATTTACAGGAAATGTAGGAGATGAAACTAATTCAGCAGTGCAAAGTCTTCAACAGGTGAGTGCCACTTGCAAACCAAAAAATGGGATTAAAAAATATGAGGCTTATATCAAATATGTTAATGTGTAGCATTTGCACAATGATGTTTAAGAATTTACAAATGGATTTGTAAAATATGCTTATAAGTAAAAGAAAAGAAGGAAAAATTAATAAAAATTAGGATTGTATGATACCACTGGGTATAAACTTCCTCAGTGAATAAATTCACTTCAGTCAGAGGAAAAATTACATCTTTTGGGGAGGAAAAAAAAGTTTGCCCTCTGGTGAAATAGTCACTCCTGTACGCAGTAGGCAGCATTCTGGATTTGATACTCTGCTCAACTAGTTACTTATGTATTGAAATGGAAGACTTCTGTAATTCTGTTGCCACGGACAATTTCAGCTACAGGCAGAAGAGAATTTGTGAAATAGAAAGAGGATCCTATTTCAATATATTAGCATTAATATGAATTTTGCTTCACGTTTTAATCGAAACCTGATTGAGTCTATTTATGAATTGCTAACATAATGAATACTTCCCAAGGAAATTCATTTTAAATGTTCATTTTACTTCCATGAAGCATATTGAGTATTCAGTAATGCCTTTAACCCTTAATGTAGTGATAAAGATCAGTCATAATCACATTTATCCAATTTTTTGGGTTCAGCGTTAGATTAAATTCTGTCATATAATATTTCTTATATTTCAATTCTAATAATCACCTTGATAATTTCAACCGTGTCAGTGCTAATTTTCATCCCTCTTTTTTCAGGTGGTGGTGGCCCTTGGAGATCCAAATGTGTCAGCTCCTTCTAGTTCTGTTGGTTTGACCAATATTAGTGTTACTCCGATCACCACAGCTGCTGGAACCCAATTTACAAATCTACAACCTGTAGCTGTAGGTCACCTTGCCACGCCTGAACGCCAATTGCAGCTAGACAATTCTATTCTCACAGTGACATTCGATACAGTTACTGGTTCTGCCATGTTGCATGGCAACCGCCAAAATGATATCCAGATACAGTCACAGCCTGAGGCAACCAACCCCCCATCAGTAGCTCATTTTATAAACCTAACAACTCTGGTGAACTCCATTGCTCCACTAGGGAGCCAAATATCAGAACAGCATCCCTTAACATGGAGGGCAGTACCTCAAACTGATGTCTTGCAGACTCAGGCCCAGCCATCCCAACAGACAGGGCAACAGCAGGTTCAACCTGAACAGCAGCAGCAAATGTACAGCTACTAACTTTTACTTGAAAGAAGACAACCAACCTCTGAATGGGTTTGCAGAAGCCTATTGGACATCAAACCTAAATCAATTGCTGGAAACCAAACACGGGGAATAAAAGGCTTACACTATGAGATACATGCTGATGTTAACCCAGGAACTGGAAATGCCAAGCCCTTTACAATTTCACACTCTTAGAGAAATCATTGCTACTTTAGCAAATTATGTGTACTGTTAATAAGCTGCAGGAAATAGATATGAGGCAGGTTTTAGAAGAGTTAAGATCAATTAAGAGATAGTGGTAATAAATAGCAAATGCAATTATCCTGTTTTTAAAACAGCAGAGGAAGAACACTTCAATGTAAAGCGAGGATATGCCTGCCTGGGATACAAGAGCCTAACTGAGGGAAAAAAAAAATTTTTTTTAAAGTTTTGCTTTTGCTTCCATAGACCAATCCATTGCATCTAATGGAATAAAGTGGGTGGAAGTTGGGTGGAGATAGTTTGTGATGTGATATGTGCTTTGTTTCATATATCATTTCCATTATACTGATGGAGATACCACTCTACACATAAGACAATATGGGGTGTTACCTGAAATTAGATAGTCTAATGTTAAAGTAATATTTTATGGTCTCTTACCTAGTAAAATTAAAACCTGAATCCATCTCTTGATCTAAATCTGTAATGAGGTATATATTTATAAAACTGTGTGCTAATTAAATATAATGCTTATCTAATAGATGGAAAACAGTTCTTCCCATGGAAATTGATTTGCCAGTTGGTCATTAATTCATCAATTTGTCTGTTCTATCATGTCACAAATATTTGGGTCCAGGTGGGTGAAAGGTCATTTCTCCGTATTACCCTTCATATTTCATTCTGTGTTCCTGGCAGATATTTGCAAATTGAGGAACTCTTTCCAATCTGACATCATATATCCACTTGTATCATTCATAGCAACTGATAGGAGGGTTCTGCTTCTGGAACCAAAAATGCATAGTAGCTTATTACCCGGGTGCAAATTAGAGTATAATATCCATTCCAGGTGATACTGACCACAAAGCAGTAGACTGAACAAATGCTAAAGAAAAATATTTGTCCTAAGCAAAACATGGAAGAAAATTCATGTTATCCACTCAATCTAAAGGGAACATTTCTGAACCCTTACATGCTGTATCTGTTTGACATTGTTAAATCCAAGTTCAGTTTATATCATCTGTGTATGCTCATTAAATAAAAGAGAGGAGCCCAATGGTTGATGGGGAAAAATGAATAAATCTTGCCTTTGAATTTGTGAACAGTACTTTTTTCTAGGCAGGTAGTGGGAAACGTGTTTAAACAATTGCCCAAAAGTTGACCAATGATTTTCTTAAACCTGTTTCTGCTAACAAATGTATTTTCCTATTAACAAGGAATATTTTCTAACCTAGTATATTACGTGCTTGGCTTATAAAAATTAAGAATCAGTTAATTCTAAGGAAATACAAATGAAACTGGCAACTAAATATTTATTTTGTGGAGGATCTCTTCAGAATACTTTTTTTTCTTTAGAATACTTTTGTTTATTTATTTTTTTCATGTACCAAGGAGAAGTTAGACTTGATCCATAAGTTACTCCTCAATGATTATGAAAACCATACATTTCATTAATTTCTCAATGGAAACTGGCTATCACAAAGTTTTATGTAACATCTTTCCAAAAAGGCTGAAAAAAGATGCAGTGAAGAATCCTGCATATGTATATAGTCCTAGGTCAGGGAATCTGGGCAACAGTATGCTGGTTTGCAAGGTGATCTCTACATTAGAAGTCTAGCTTGCATAAATTAGGATAAGTTTGAAAGTAGGAGTTTGGCTGCATTTATGGCATAGTGGTCAAAACGTTGCAGAATTAACCACTACAGTTCTTAGTGTTAAAAGGAAATGCTGTATGTGATACAAATAAAGACAGTAACCTAGATTGCAACTTTTCTATCTTACTTTAAAAATTACACAAATGCCTTGATTGATCAAGGTTACATTAAGTAGTGAAACTATTATCTGTAGGTAACTTACTCATTTCTTTCATTCTGCATAATATAAAATGAAATAGCATGATGGTATGTTTATGTACACATGTATCCTACAATAAGGTTATAATGCAGCAGGCGATAGACTTTTCCCTTCATAGGACCGTGAGAATCCCTAAAGAGCATACATTGTAAGTTACAATTTTGTCACCAAACAAATTTCGGCCAGATACTATTTTAGAAGTCCTACATTTCATGAATGAGGGTTCTGCAAGTTACAACAAATTCTGATTTGATAACTTTATGGAGAACAGCATCCAATAGTGACTCATCAAGAAAATGAATTTGGGCACTTTTCAATTTTCAATTCCATTATTTAAATAATAACTACTTAAGAAAATATTAAATAAAGCTTATTTCAGCAACTATGAAGAGTGTATCAAAATTTGGAATGCATAGTTGTATTCCCTAATGCATAATGTATCTGATCTGAAATTTATAGCTACTGAATATCAGCCATTCCTGTTCAGCATCAGAGAGAAATGATTATCTCCATGTCATTCATTTATAAAAGTTCTGTCATAAAATAATTCCAAGGAATTTTAATTCCCTAGAAAAAGATAATTTGCACAATAATTTCAAGAAATTTACTGATACAATTTGATAGATTTAAAATGGTTTTACTCCAAAATTTTATAGTATAATATTCATATAATGGATGTTGATGCTATAGTTCATGAAACGGACCTGCAGTAAATGATTATTGGCCATTTTAGAAAGCGGCTTTCATAAACTTCTGCTTGCCCATTCATTTTTGAAATGCAAGTGATGTTTTCTGTATTATTTGGGATGGAAACTATCAGTAATCCATGTGGGCATCTTAATACAACAATCAGGCAGCCGCATTGCTAGTAATGCATTAATAAATGTAATACATTCATGAAAAAACTTAAGGCAATTTAGTTATTCCCTGCTGTGTCTTAGATGGGATTTCCCCCTTAATGAAGGCTAAGAGATCTCTAAAGAAATGTGCTTTTAAAAATATATAGCCAACACTGTGGCTTTTCTTGGTTTAAGCTGTGCTTTGCAGTTGTTATGAAAATAGTTCTGAGATGAGTTTTGTCAGAGTTTTCTTAACCCTCTAGTAACATCTGTTAGGACCAAATTAAGAGGCAGCCCTCCTAGTCATAGTCATGTGTTGTATTCTTGGAAGAATTTTGGTTCCTAAGGCTCCTCCTGGAGCATCTTAAAGCAAATAGATAAACCCTTCCTTCCTTTTTCTTGTGACCAACTTCCATACAGAGAACTCAGATGCTACATTGACTCCATTTCCCCCCACAAAATAATGTTTAGTTTTGCACAAAACATTCTGGGGAAACTCTTCATTGTTTTTAGGGGTTTTTTTTGGAGGTGTTGCATAGATTAAGGGCCATTGGGGTAATAGTATTCATAATATATGACACTTCTAGAACATATTTAAAATAGTCTTTATTTTAAGTCTAATTGTTGAGCTTATTTCATTACTGTGTAGACCAACCTATTCATAAAGATACACTGCTGTATTTCAATGGATCACTTTGAAGTCTCCTATCCAAATGTTTACCAAGTCTAACTCTGCTTAGCTTTTGAGACCACCAAAGCTAAGGTTGGCTATGTCTACCATCTAACTACTGAAAGGGATCTCCAGGTATGGTTCCAGCTACAGCTGGCTTAGCAACCCAAGTTTGACAAGGCAGGGAAGTTTGACTTTGCACAGAATTTTGATTCTGTACTTTTTCTCTCTCTCATAAAAAGGACAGAACAAATGTGTAGGATTGCTAAGTCCTGTTGAAACTACTTCTGTAAATTGTTCCACTGCCTGTAAATATATTTGTTAATTCTAGTATGTAATTGTGTAACAAACCATTAGGTTTTGATAAAGCCACTACAGTCTCCTAAAGCATCTGGTAAATGACCCAATGCTGGCAACCTGAGTAGACTGAATTTATATTTCGTTTTTCAGAACAGGCTTTCCATATATCTCTTTTTACCAGTAATGTAACTGGTGAAACTAGGCAACATATTTCTCATTCCACAAAGCTTGTTATGAAGATCAATTTACTGGCTAGACCAATATCAGAAATGAGCATTTGGTTTGATTGGGCAAAGCACAGCCAGCCTCTTTACTTATAGTATCTTAAGTATTCTATAATTTGTCATTTGAAAAAGGACAAATGAAAGAAGAAAAGGAAGGGAGCGGAAACCTAACAAGGAAGATCTGTCCAACAACATCTAAACAAGAGGCCTAGATGACCTTTCTTTAGTTGTATTCTCTGAACTCTGAACATGTGCTGAAACCCAATAATTTATTCAAGAAGTAGATAAATAACTACTTCATCTAGGCTAACCTGGAATTCTGTATGTACAACTTTTGTCTTCTCTCATGCTTCCTTGTATTCAATCTTTCCTAATCAACTTCTTTTTATATTTAGAGTTTGATTGTATTGATTTAATTCAGGAAAAACTATACAATCACACAACTAGCCCTTGTGCTTCTGAATAGGTACAATTTGTGGTTTTTTATTTTATATAATATATTTTATAATATATAGATTTTATATTTTTAAGCTTTAGATAGGAAGATCCAAGAGATACCAGGGTACCCTATAGATAGCTTGCTGGGCTACGTAGCTGGGCTCTGTACTCAATAACTTTGTATAATCACTGTCATGCAAATCAGGTGTCTGTGTAACTAAAATGAAGGTAGAGAACTATTTTACTGAAAGAAAAGTTCAATAAAATTATACAATAAGAGTATAACCAAATACGAAGAGAGTTTCTCTCCATTAAGTCTGCTCAAGCAGAGGCTAAACAGCCATCTCTTTGTGGTGTTTTGCCTTGGAGTTCTGCACTGAGCGAGACGGTGAACTTGTTGGCATAAATGGCTCCTTATAATTTATGATTCTTTAATGTTGTGAATTATTTTGAATTATACTGTGGTGGCGCAGTAGTTTGGAATGCAGTATTGCAGGCTAACTCTGCCCACTGCTAGGAGTTCAGTCCTGATAGGGTCAGAGCTGACTTATCTTTTCGAGGTCAGTAAAACGAGTGCCCATATTTTGGGGGGCAATTGCTGACATTATAAA